GTCCTTTAATATTAGCTTTTTGTAAACTTAAACAACTTCAGTACCAAATCTTCAATTTCTTTCGACATTCCTGGTCAATATAGTATTTCTCTTGCTTTGATCTTGCATTTTACTACTCCTAAATGACCATAATGAATTTTGCTTAACATATCTTTTCGTAAACTTCTTAGTACAACAACATAGGAATTTTTAAATATTAATTCATTTGCTTCTGATAGTAGTTCTCTGAAATTAAAATATGGTTTTGTCAGTTCTGAAGTCGTACATTTTTCATCTGGCCATCCAGTTTTAATTAATTTTCTTAAAATTTGTAGTTCTTCATCTTTTTCTGGTTCCAGTTGAAAAACTTCCATTTTACCTTTAGACATTGGTACACATTCTATAACAAATCCAACATGAGCTTCTATGTCTCCTTCAAAGAAATCAGATTCTTTATCAGTGAATGATCTTGATAATGCATCTGCTATAAAAAGTTCTTTTCCATGTTTATATTTTATCTCAAATTGATATGGCTGTAATCTTATACACATTCTTTGTAATTTTACAAAGTGTTTACTTAATGGCCTTTTTGAAAATTGATTCCAGTGGTTTATGGTCACTTTTCACTGTAATATATTTTCCAAATATATACTGGTGAAATTTCTCACATGCAAATACAATAGCTAAAGTTTCCTTTTCAATTTGAGCTTCCTTTTCAATTTCTTCTGTGTATCTGTTAATGCCTTGGATGCATAATGCTACTGGTAAATTATTCTGCAGTAAGACTGCTTTTAGTCCATCTTGAAATACATCTGCAGATAAAACTACTGGAATGTTTATATCATAATACTGTAAAACTGGCTTATTTACTAAGACATCTTCTAATCTTCTAAACGCTTTTCGTGTGTTGCATTCCAGTTCCAGTAACTTGTTTTTTCAACAAATCTCTTAAACATGATATCAATTCTGATACATTAGGTATAAATCTAGAAACATATGTAATCATTCCTAGGAAAGTTTCTAATTCTTTGATATTTTTTAGTGGTTTTATATCTAGAATAGCCTTAATTTTGTCTTCATCTGGTTTTAAACCATCTTTAGAAAATATATGTCCCATATATTTCACTTCATTTAGCTCAAATTATAAATGTAAATTTGATTGATTTAAATAAATGTAATTTAATTCATTGCGCGCTGCGGTGCGCAATGAATTGGAAGTTGATCTGTCAGCACTTTCCTTATCTTCAGGGCAGATGTTTTTATTTTATTTGGCTTATAATTCCTTACTAAATGTAGTATTTTATCTCGATGTACTCCATCTTTGATATGATTTAAATCAAATTCCTTGTCATTATAAATAGCTTTCGATAGTGAAGAAAGTGACACAGAGGCTATTGAAAACGAAAAAATTTCGATTGACAAATTAGTCGGTATTCTCGACACAGCAATTTTAGGACTTGAACAGCGGAACTTTGTAACTGAAGAAGAAATTATGTCTGTTTATAGAATTAAAGAGAAAGTATTATCACATAAAACGAAGCAACTTAAACAACTTACATTGAAAGAAATGTTTAATAAAGTAAACAAATAAGTAAGCTTTTTTTTTTTTTTTTTTTTTTTTTTGTAAATTTTGAAACCCTTCAGATCATAATTGTTCTTTATTTCATAAATTATGGTTTCATATTTTTAATTTTATAATTTCTGCATGACATCTTATCAGATTTAAACTGATGATCTTTAATCCGGAAAAATCGATAATCCGGAATCGCTGAAGTCCCGACGAGTCCGGATTAACGACTTTTGACTATTTATCCACTCTGTTACCCTGCTCAGTGATATCAGTTTCTTTACTTTTATATGTTTGTAAATTGTGCATTTTTTTGTTTTGAAAATGACTGAATTATGTTGTTCTTATTTTCTGGTCAAGGTTTTGATGCCTTTAGTATATCTACATGCAATAGTTTTAGAGTTATCAACAATTTAAAAGTTGTTCAAGTGTGGTTAAGCCTAATTATTTTTGTGATGGCGGCCATGTTTGTTTACATTTGAAATTTGGCAAAATAGCGGATTTGTTGCGAATCTAGAGAAACTAAGCTTCACAATAACAAAGATAACGTCTTTTTTTATTATTGTGAATTAAATCATGCTTAATCCATTCTGGAATTTATTCGAGGAAATAAGTCTTTAAGATTTACTTCGTAATTTTTAATATAGACACTTTGAGTTTTTTTTTATGTATTTTTGCCTTGTCAGTAAGTGAGAACTGAATTTAATTGAATGAGAAATACTGAATCGCCTGTGAAAAACTGTTTCTTTTTTGTTTGCTTAATTTCTTTTATACATCATTTCAGATTTATTATAGTATTTGAATGGAACACGTGGCAACGATTGGATAATTCTTCAAATGATGTAAATTATTTTGTGCATTCTGAGTTATAATGTGAGAAATGTAACGCTGTTAGGTGAACCTAGCATCAGTGTCCTTATGGTAAACAAATATAGTGAATTTTAAAGAGAGTATTTATTCTATTGTGGTTTATGCACTATTGACGAAGCAGGTTAAATCCAATAAGTTTAAATTAAATGCAAGAAAAAATGCATATAATTTAATATTCCGTACAGGGAAGTCTTGTGGTGTACACATCGGATTTTTTATTTACGATTTTGTAAATGTTTTCTTTAAAGATAAATTTTACTATGCATTGTTTGTTTACACAATTGGTATTTTATTTTTATATATTGATATATATTTAATCCTTTTGTTCTTGAAAGTTTTATGACATAAGTAAATAAAATGTGCAAAATTGTTAATATACTTTCAAAAAATCAGATTCTAATTAAAACTTTGCAGAGGAGAAAATTTCTCTATACATATTAATGATGTATAAAATTTTATTGATATTAAAATTTACATATCATTTATATGAAATGTTTCAAATAGAGTAACATTTTATGCAGATGGAGCTTATTTTATTGTGTGTTGTATTCTAGATGGTATTATGTGAGAAAATGTTAAAAATTAGAAACAAGCTGAAAGCTATCCTTGAGCTCTCTGAAATGCAACATTCTAATGGAACGTATGTGGATCTAAATCCATTTAAAAATTGGTCAGTCTCGGGATTCTGTAAGTTACTTATTAATAATATTTTTTGTTTTTAAACTTAAAAACCTTTCCCTATTCATAGAATTTTTTTAAGAAATAGCTATATCTACAGATTTTTAATGTGAATAATTGTATATAAATAAATATTTCTAAAATAATTATAGTGAATTATCACTAATAGTGTTTAGTATTTTTTAGAATATGAACAAACATTTCTATTTATTAAAAATGGCAGCCTTTGGAAAAGACTAAAACTGGCTGAAACTGTGAGTGATCATCTTAGGAAGGGTTCACTTTATTCTTAGACTTAATTCTTCAATAAATAATATTGTATTTCTTTCAGTTGAGGCTACTGAAGAAGTTAGTGCTATGCATGCACAAGAGTTGAAAACTAAACTCAGCATTTCTGAAGAACTCCCCATATTAAGTGACAAATCTCATGCACTGTTTCTGGAAAGCTCCTGGAAATATGAAACAGAGATAGACAGACATAGGGTGAACTTTTTATTATTTAACATGTGTTATCAGTTAGACTTACAGCTATAGCTGTAAATGAAATTCTGATCAAAAACTCTGTAAAGAATTCAATAAATAAGATGTTACGTATTTAATAAATACACTGAATTAAGGGTTGTTTTTATTAAATTTATCTTCAAACATTTGTAAAGGACACTAAATCTAAAATTTTTAAGTAAATCAGAATAATGTAATAAAGCAGGGGTTTCCAACCTTTATGTTCCTAAAAGCGCATTCTAGAATATCTATTGGGCGATGGGCACCATTTACTTTTTCAAGGTGAATTTATAGTTGGATAAAGTTAATAAATACACGCACATAAAAAAAGAGATTGGTCGCATTTCGCTTTGTGCTGATATTTATGTTAGACAAAATTTTTATTTCATTAAAAATGAGAAAACTTTCACATAGAATTTTATTGAAAAGTGCAACATTTTTATTGTGATCGCACAGCAGCGGGCACACAAACGATCAGTGGGTGCCATGGTGCCTACAGGTATAGGGTTGGGAACCACTGTAATAAAGCATATTTATCAATACATTTCGTGGTTTTTAAATTTAGGATCAAAATTTGAAAGTTAGTTTAATAGAGCAACTATTTATTGATCATTCACAGCCTGCATCTAACATCCATTCCGGATGTATCTTTGCATTCCGGAAGTACTTTGCATTGCATCTAAAGATTTTACTCAATTTATTTTTACTAGAGTCTTACCTTCTTTCAATATGCATTGAGACTTTTAATACAAATCTGAATTGATCAAATGTTTGCAGATAATATATGTGAAAGCAATAACTATATTTGACTATATTTTATACACTGTTAGGCATTAATGATAAGTATGCCAAAACATTTGTTCTCAGAAGTCATCATTGGAATTCAGATATTTGTTCGAAGTGACCAATCTCGGAATGGCTTTGGAACTATTAACCAACAGAAGCGTTCATCTGAAACACTAAACGAAACCTTTCTTTTGTTCTTCCATCAACATCATCAGAACAGTGATACTCTGAATCTTTCTCAATCTTTGCAGTCCTGTAACTGATGTTGAGTTGATCCACTGTGGATTAAATGCTCTGTCTATTTGCACAAACAGCTACATCCATCCTTGTGCAGTTATCCTCTGTGATAGCAGCATGGGCATGATCACACCAAGAATAATCATTTGTATGGTCACATTGTAAGATCTGTCTATTAGTCTACATAAACTAAAATAGATCCTACAATGAACCTGGTGAATTCTCGTGCAGGCGTGACTAAGCTACCAGTACAAAAGAAGGCTGAATAGTAACCCTTTATTTAATTCAAATAATTAACAGCAAGGCACAATCTTTGTGTTATACAATGGCACTGTCAACTTGGGGTGAAACTGAAATGTAGTACAATTCAAGTCAAAATCTAAAATAAAAGTGCTGGATTAGCACATTACCTTACGCCTAACAGTTTGACTCACAAAACCTAACAGGTGTGATGATAATCCGGAATGGCCAGGAGGCTCACTAGCGTAACAGCGAAACGTGTGCTGGTTAGCGAAAACTCGCTCTGAATAAACTTAGATTCACCCGTTTAAATATTCATTTAACTTTACATCCTGGCAAGAAAAATGTGAGGGGAAGTTGAGAAATTCAGAAAAGGTATCAAACTTAAAATAAATTTTTTATGCAAAATAAGGGAAACCCTACAACAGCACTGTCCAACTTATCATAGCCCACGGCCATATTTTCTTTACCAAACATTTCGGGGGTCAAGAAGGTTGATAAAAGAAAAGTCAATTTATGTTAATTAAAAAAAATTATTTATACTAAAAAGAAAACTTTAAAATATTCGTAATATAATATATTAATGAGAACACTGTGGTCGTAATTATTTAGCAACAATAACTTTTTATGTCCACATCAATATTTGTTGTGGCAGGTCTAATTATATCTTCAAGAGTTGAATCTTTCAAACTGTTTCTATATTTTGACTTTATATATTTCATATCGGAGTATGCACGCTTGCAGATATGTACTTCCGAACATTGATGCAATTTGAAGTCCAAAATCTCTCAATTTTGAATATTTCTCTCTATTTAAAAATTTGAATATTTCTATTCCAGGTTACATTTTTTAATGAATTCTCCATCCAAAAATGGCTCTTTGCCTTTACTATTTCTAAACAAACTTCAAATGATGCAACTACAGATGCTTCTTGAAATTTTGGTTCTTGATTAAAATAAATCATTTGATGATCCAGCTGCCTTTTCATTTTTCTCACTAGTGGTATTTTCATGTCTCGCATGTACGAATGGTACTTCTTTTAATGCATGGAAAGATAATGGTGCTTCACGTTATATTCTTTACATACAGCTATGATTTGTAAACATTCCAAACACTGTGGTTTACAATTCTGGTTTAGAATAAATAAATAATCTATCTCCTAGCGATCTTGAAATTCTCGATTTTCGAGGTCTATTTTTCTTTTATTAGTAGCACCCATATTCAATAATTATTTTAATAACTAAATATGAAATTTAGCTAATAATATTATAATACAGTCACCCCTCAACAAATTCTAGACGAGACTGCACTTGCACAATTGCATGAATCAACCAAATAGTGCAGGGTAGTGTGCGCATCACGTGCGCCAACCATAGGTAAACAACAACCAACCACAAATATAATATGTGGCGCCAATGTTGAGCCAACCATCATCAGACATTAAACGGATTGCTGCTGTATTCAGCCAGGTTAAGTGAAGTTACACAAACTAAATAGTACCTACTTTAAATTCAAATTAGATTTAAATTTATTCATAGTAAAATGTACTCGCGGGCCGCCAGTTGGACAGCCCTGCCCTACAACATAATTTCTTAAAAATCCTTGCCCAATCTGCCGCTTTCTTTTCAAGCAGTGGATCGTTTCTCACTGAGACATCCGCTATCTTATACTTCCTTTATCCAATGAAACACTTAAGCTAATTGACATCTTTCAGCACAAAGAGCTGAATGACAGCATGCTGCTTTATGTGATGTGATGGGTTATGCATGTGGAATCCCATCTTTCAATGTTTATTTTGGTAAAGACAAAAATTGTTGCCACATGATATTTACTGTATATAGATAGGCATATGCTATGCTATATCACTATATTCCTTTCATCATGCATACTGCAGTTAATCAACAAACAGATTTCATTTAATCATGTTTAGTATAGCAAATAACAGTTGCTTATACAGCTACCTGCCTAAAATAGTTATTATAAAAAAGAAAAATATATTTTAATGAGTCCCATTAAATTTTATGGTTCCAGCTAGTAATTAATAGATGAATAACTGCAATTATTGCTTAGTTTGTTTATCAATAATAAGCATATTAAATTTTAAAGAAAATTAAACTCTTTGCCAAATGGCAACACACTGGCATGCCGAAGATAAAACTTTTTTTTTTTTACTTTTAGGAGTGACCACACATATTTCTTTCAAATCACTGAGATTGTTCAATGAATTTGAAAGACAAATATATAATAGTAACACATTTCTTTTAAAACACTGAAGCTTCTGATTACATTTGAAAAAACTTATGCTTAGCCAAGGGCCAACAGGTTATATTTAAATCACAGAATTTGTAAATTAAAACTGTATTAATTTCATACAAAATGTAAAATAAATAGTGAAATTTGGTCTTTGAGGTATACATGTTATTATCGAGGTAGTGTTCAAAATTTGCTATCTCTAGGTGCCACTGTTTTCCCACAATGCAAGAAGCATACAGATTCTTCATTATTTAATGATATAGATAGATACAGTACAAAGTCTGTAATCCAGACATCCATTATGCAGAATGATCTATAATCTGGACCTCAAAGCCAAACACTTTTTTTTGTATGCTTTATGCATGCACATTTTAATGTTTACGCATGCGTGTTTAGCACAAAAAACGAAGCAATTTAAACAACGTACATTGAAAGAAATGTTTAATAAAGTAAATAAATAAATATTAAGCTTTTTTTTGGTAAATTTTGATACCCATTAGATCATAATTGCTCTTTTTTTCATAAATTACAGTTTCATATTTTTAATTGTATAATTTCTGCATGCCATCTTACCAGATTTAAATTGATGATCTATAATCTGGAATCGCCGAAGTTCCCGATTACGGACATTGTACTGTATATCAAAGCAAACAATGTTGCATGCAAAAGGTACTTCATCTGATCTTATTATGCAATCACACATACTTATTATATGGCCAATAATTACTTCTTAGTAATCATGATAAAATTAATGTATCAAACCTGCATCATAAAATATATTCTATACCTGGTTCAATAATGTTACATTAATATTTTCTGTTTAAAACATATTTCATTTTTCTTGTATTGAATCTTTATTTACTTAAATTAGTTCCAAGCATGGCTAAAATCTTTAAAGCATATATATCAATGCATGTAAGATCCCTCCCTGTATTAAAACTACCTATTTATAATTAATATAAACAAACATTTTAAATGCAAGTCACACACCACTATAGAAATATATTTTAAAGTGCTTTTTTTTACAATTAGTGATGTTCTTATTTTCAAATTCAACTGAAGCCTGATTATAGATTGATATAACCCACTACAGCCAATCTGACAGACAATAAAACACACTAAGCAATAATCCAACTTTAAATCTCAAATAATGAATATAAAGCCTCAGGAATGACTAAAATAAATGAAACCGATAGTCAGAGTCTGAAGGATTTAAACTATTTCTGTGTCAGGTATAGAATATATGGCCATAGAAATATAATTAAAATTATGCCCGAAAGCAACCAAAAACACTTGCCATAATTATTATGATGCATTTTTATCCTCCTTTTTTTTTTATATCTTGTGGATGTGGACTTATAGTTGTGAGAAAAGCTCAATGTTAAAATCAAATCAGTGCTACAACTGCAAAGAAAAATAACAGCATATCTTGAAAATTTTATTTTATCATACAACTAAATATTCTCAAGTGCTGAGATAAATCAGCTGCCTTTTATTTTCAAAATATTTGAATAGTATAAATGCATGACTGAAATAAATAGCCTCACATGTGAAACACTTCTAAATAATACAGATATAACTGCCACAAAAGGTTATTGT